CTCATACCCTACTAGACTAGTATGCTTTTTCAATGTAGATGTATTCGATATCTCCTTCAATATATATATATATATTTTTTTATTTTTTTATTTTATGAATTATCTTATATGAATCTGAATAGGACTTGTCTGAATAATTAAGTTGGAAAGCGACGTATGAGAGTGTATCGGCGGCACCGAATAGAGTCGGCATGCCCTACGCCAAATGCAGCAGTGAGAATCGGCGAGCGTGCCCATCAGAATCCCAACAAATCTCCGACCAATTTGACTCAAACCCCACAGCCACCTACAGCTGAAAAGACTGCGCTACCCCCAAATGATAAAAACATCCACGTGATAAACGTCAATATTATATCGATTTTTATTTTTAAATATCATAGTCTTTACTCGTTTAAAATACAAAAGATTATTCTTAGATTGACAGCGAGATAATCTCTACTCATTGAAAATGCAAAGAATTATTCTTAGTTGTAAGAGTATCAATTATGTCGTGTTATATTATATTTGATATGTGTCGTGTCAATAAAAAATTATGTAATTCAATAATTTATATAATAACACTGCTTAAAAAATTAAATAGTACTAATTAATCTTGTTATTCAAGTCTAATATTAATTTGATATATTTATTTTACGTATTAATTAATTAAGTTATTTTAAATATTATGACCAAGTAAATTTGTGTCCAATTTGAATTGGTGGTAAAATTGAGCTCCCTTGGGATATGCCGCTAATTACTACAGTATCATACGTTACATTAAAACAAAAGACCAAACATTGGTCTTATCTTACTAACGTGATTGGCGGTGAAACAGAAGCGAAAAATCAGGTAATGGGAAGAGTACGGAAAATAGGAACCTGAGGGGAGGTGGGAGAAAGAAAACGACGGGTCCGAGATCAGAGGGAGCAAAATAATAATTGTACCCCCACGCTATTCCGACAATCATTATTCTGTATCTCTGTCTCTTTGTCTGTCCTAAATTCAAATTTTTATATTGACATTTATAAATATTTTTATCACCTTATAATAACAATAACAATGATAAAAATATTTATAATAAAATAATAAATTATTTATATAAATAATAATTTATTATTATAAAAATACTCATAAAAATAATAAATTTTAAAAATAAAATACCAAATTATTTTATTCGACATCGTAGTCAAGTCCTCCTCCCTCAAACCGGTAGCCATCACCCATCAGTCTTAATCCCAAATCTTTTCCATGTTCTCACACGCCAACAGTAATTCTAGTGTCCCGCCCACCTGTTTCAATTTTGGTTTTGCCCATTTGTGTTTGTCCCTCAAACGCCAAATGCACCGATCGGAATGGATAATTTTTCAACCATCTCTAAGGTCTGTGGACTTCTTTATCCTGCGTTTTGTATATACTAGAAATAACCTCATACTTAAAAGAGATTCTTATAATATTCATATTTTAAGTTATAATTTTATTTATTTTTTTAATTATTTAATTTAAATTAAAATAAACAAAAAGATAATACAAATAGTAGATAAAGATAAGTGTGTATTAGTAGTGTTGTTTGATATTAAAAAAATGTGTTGGTTGAGTTAATTTTTGGAGTGAGTATCTTTTTTTTAGAATGAATTTTGTATCTCTTGATTAAAGTAAATAAAAATTAAATTAATTTTAATTGTTATTATTCTTTTATAAATTGAGAATTCAAATTTTTAACTATAATCTTAGATAGATAATAACTAAAATTGCATGCAAGATTTGGATTATGTCTTTCTTTTGACGTTGTGTGGAAAGTGAGAATGAAAATTGTGTAATTAAAATTCCGCCGCATCATTTATACATACGGTTAGATCAACTTCCATGTAAATGTTAAAATAATCATTGACCTCCTCATCTGAAATTTTTTTAAAAACACAAGTGGATATAGCATTATATCCAAAAGATCAATCCTATTCGAATATAATTTGTTGATTTAATTAATTATGATCATTAGTTTAGTAATAACATTCAATATTGATAAGAATTTGCTATCAATTCAACGATTGTAATTGATTAAATCAACAACTTAAGTTTAATAAATTACATCAAAGCAGTCTTATTTTACACACACACACACACATATATTTATATTTTGCCTTTGTCTCACAAGTGTAAGTAAAGAGTGAGTCTATTAAAGACCAATTGATGCGATCCGGGATAGACCTATAATGGTAATAATATTTTGTTACACCCTAACATTCTGTGACAAGGAGTATTTTTGTCATAGTATTAGGGGTAATTTGTGTCTGAATATACAGTGCAATGTGAATGATTTTAATAGAAGTATTGGTGATCGTTGGATAAATTTATTTGAGACCGTTAAATAAAATTATTAAAGTCTATCAAGTTTTATATTATAGATGCTTGGTTAATTAGTTATTGCCTCCTCACTTGTCATTATGAATTTATTATCCAATGAGCATATACATGTGGAAGGATGTGATTAAATGGGATTTATAATAAGACTCGGGAAGATCGTGTAAAAAGACATTAAAACTATAATATATATGAATGAATACCACACTACTTCTCTTTTCCACATTGAACATGTCAATTGATAACAGTTTTAAAATGGCTCTTTTCATTGGACTTTAAGAGAATATAAAGCTCCAATCTCTCCCTATCTCCTCATAGTCTAATTGACAAATTTCTGCCTACCGATGCTTTCACTCCATTAATGTATATCCTTTTTTTGGTGTTGAAAATTAATTTTAACTCTAAGAGGTTGTCTAGTCAAGACAGAACTGAATTGTAGATTTAGATATTCTAAATTTAAAATTTAGCGACTTTCTTATATACGAGAGTGGTGGGATCACGAGATTTCTAACTGTATCCGTTATTGTTCGTGAAAACCAACTTAACTAAATTAGGATAACGATTAACCACATAACCCAAATGTTTATTGAGTAGGCCTTGTAGATGAACCAAGACTTTCACGAAAATGCCTATATTGCTTTAACGGACTTTAGTTGAACTCATACTGGAGTGTAGCTCGTGTCATGTGATGTTTGAGTTGAAGAAAAACTTATTTTCGTTTGATATTTTTGAATTCTCATTTTATTCTTATAATATTATATCGATTTTTATTGAATGAAATTTTCGATTCGAGTTCAAAAAAAAGTTATAATTAACTCATGTTTGTATTAGTTGAACTATAAATTCAATTTAATTGAATCACAACTTCGCAATCAAAAAATGGGTTTCATGGTCTTGCCAAGCATTAAAATGGCAGGAGAAAGAAATATATATGCAAGACTGTGTAAGTATATAACTATGTTACGGTACTTTAGAACAAAACCAGACCTCCCATATGGGGCCCACCCCCAAACAACGCCGAGATATTTACCACAATGCTGTCATTTTTTAAATTTATTACAGATTTATAATATTATTTGTATTTATTTATCGATAATTTTTAAAAATAGAGTCAACAACCTTGTTTTTGTTTTAAAATGAGATCAATAACTCTGCTTTTATATAAAAAATGTGATTAAGAGTTACAGTGATTATAGATGAAAAATAAAAAATATTTAGTTGCCTATAATATTTAGTTGCAATTATAATAGATGAAAAATATGAAAAACGTGTTTATTAAACATGTTTTTATTTTGCATATGTGTTTTGTGGTTAGTAAACACATTTTTTATCTGTCGTATACAGAATTTTCGTATTTAGATCACAATTTTTATTTGAAAGGAGGGTTATTGATTATGTTTTCTAATAAAAACCAAGTTATTAAATTTATTTTTTTAAGTGAGTGGTGGACTAATGACTCTGTAGCTCGCTATTGCAGGAATAGATAGTGGATTCAAAGTTCATCAGCCCACTCCCCCGTGAACTTTGCAACAGTGGCTAATAAAAAAAGAGTAATGTTACGTGAATTTAAAAAATAAATTTAAAAATTATACTTTATAATTTGAACTATTGATTTTACTGTAGGTCATAGCATTTATTGAGATATACTACTTACTTAATGGTTGAGATTATTAAGTCTAATTTTTTAGTCTAATTTTTAAGTCCATCTAGTATTACTCATAAAAAAATTAATTCCAACAAAAATAGGGTTGCTGAATTTATATTTAAAAGTTATTATAATTTAATAAATAAATTTAATAATACTAATAAAGTTTAAAAATTATAAGCATGATAAATAACTCAAACAAAGCCTGTGGTCTAGCCGACTGAAAATATCTCCCTCTTCAACGAGACTCTGTTAAAGCTGTTTGCTCCTTGACACATAAGCCTCAGAACTCTTCGGCAGCTGTTTCAGCAGACAGAATCTCTCTCTCTCTCTCTCTCTCTCTCTCACACACACAGAGAACACCCATAAAAACCCCACTACTGTACTTCCAAGAGGACCAAAAGCCTTTATCCTCTCTCTCTCTCTCCATTGAACAAGTATTTGTCTACAACTGATCAAACGCCGGCGGCACTTCAGAACTAGCTAGCGAAAAATGCCGTCAGAATCCGGCGAGAGACGACCGACGAAACCGCACCAAGTGGGTGCACCACCACCAGAGCCAGAACACATCCCATGCCCGCGCTGTGATTCTACAAACACCAAATTCTGCTACTACAACAACTACAACTTCTCTCAGCCCCGTCATTTCTGCAAATCCTGCCGCCGATACTGGACACATGGTGGGACCCTCCGCGACATACCCGTCGGTGGTGGTACTCGCCGGAATGCCAAACGCTCTCGCACCAGCACCTACACTCATGACAACATGCACGCTACTGCTACCACCACCATCCCCACCCCCATTTTGGTTCCTTTAGTCGCCGACCAAGGCGGTGCCGTACAATTTGTGGGTGATGCCAAGCCAAGTTTGAGTTTTTGCGGAAGTTTTACTTCGCTGTTGAATACTCAGGGGGCAGGGGTTTTGGCACTGGGTGGGTTTGGGCTTGGGCTTGGGTCTGTGTCTGGGTCTGGGTTTGAGGATATGAGTTTTAGACTTGGAAGGGCGGTTTGGCCTTTTCCGGCGGTTGGAGATGGTGGCCCTTCCAGCAGTGGTGGTGTGATTGGTAGTAATGCATGGCAGCTGGGGACAGGAGAAGGTGGGTTTGTTGGCGGCGATTGCTTTCCTTTGCCAGATCTTACTATTTCCACACCCATGAATTGTTTCAAATAGTCTCCTTGTTTTGTATTTCACTGTTTCTTTTTAGGAAAACATAAATGTGTACTTTTTTGTGGTTTAAGATCTGATTGTTAGAGAATCAATAGAACCTGTCCTGTGGCTTTTGAATCTACAACACATGTGTCTGAATATTATTGGAACTAATGAGTATGTTTTTTTGAACAAATATTTCAGGAGCTTTCAGTATTTAATTGTTTGTTGATTCTATTGGAGGACTAGATTTATTCATCCAGTGCCATTTTAGATTAAATTTTGAGTAATGTCAGTGAGAGCTAAAAAATTAATTTAATTTCTTGACATGACAATTACAATTAAGTCATAGGGATATCAAAATAGGATACGATTCATTATTACGATACAAAATTTGTCGGTCTAAATCTTTCTTTAACTACTAGTTTGGTAAATTAGTGGATCACACATAACATGACTTGACTGATAAATGAATTAAGTATGCGTGAATTCAATTAAAAAGAAAAATTACAAATATTATTGTAACATAATTTAGAGATTTAATGTATTGTGACAATTAGATTGATAGTGAAGTGCATTCAATATTGAGATCCACTGATAACTTAATAACCAAAATCATTAAATCCTTAAATTATGTTTCAACAGCATTACTTAATAAATATACAATACGACTTGTTTATATACCACTTATACATGACACAAATCCCGATATAACACAATTAGTTAGATATAAATTAATAAATGAATCCGATATTAATAGAGTATTGTTTGACATGAAGTCAGTACGATTTGACACAAACTCACCTCATCTCACAAGATTGATAAGTCTAATTACAATTATTACAATGCAATTTGATCATATTATTGTCACGTTATTATTATGTTATAAAGTAAAGTCAAATTTTTAAGTTTTAAATTAATCACTCACTCGGGTAATCGTATTTGAAGATACGGTATAGTGTGAGTAATTTTGAGAGAAATGATAGTAGTCGTTGAATAAATCTATTTGAGACATTCAAATGAACCGAACAATACTCGATTACCCGATTATATTATAAATACATCTGTCTGTATTTTGAACCGTATAAACTCAAAAAGTACACAATTGCACGTGTCTCGCATCCATTGGAATGTCTTTTAAGAGAATCTAATTTAAAACTTTTGAGATACGAAGAACTAAAATCATATTATTTTAGCTCTACCTTTTATTAGATCAACCTCTCATCTAAATAAAAATTGTGAAAATCTAGATGGAATAATTTGTTTATTAGCTGAACTAGGACCCGCATGAGTGTAGAATCTACGCATGGATCTCAATATTAATTATTTACATCCTTGATGTTATGAAAAAAATATTCTATGCAACAATGATATTATGTCGATATTGTTTATATAATGTTATTAATTAATAATAAAATTTTAAATAGACAAAATAAACTCTATTTAAATAATTATTAATTTACATAGAAGAAGAATGAATATTTATTTACTTATATATACAGATGATACCACGTGTCAATATTAGACCTGACAATTCTAGACATGAATTTAGCGGGTTTGGGTGTAATTTTAACGTGTTCGGGTAGTTAACGATTTAACTCAGCAGACTTGTGAAATAAACGTACCAGTTTCGTGTTTAACTCATAAATTCGTTTCAATTCGTTAACAGTTGTACTACAATTTTTTTTTTAAAAAAAAATTAGGTCTCTCATCCACTATCTCATCTCACGCTTCCCATCTCTTAAATTTATTCAAATTTAGTAGTCATTTAATATTTATTTTTTATCTTAATTTTTTTGCTCAGCCATAATTTATTGTTATAGTAAACATGTCAAATATGTGTAATGTGTAACAAATTGATGATTTTTCATGTATACTCGAAATATTCTAACCTATTCTCTTATTTAACGGGTGACACACGGGTTATGTCGAGTAACCCGTCTAATAAATGATTCGTGTATGAATGTGATAGTTTAATTCGTTTATATAAACGAATGAGGTATGAATTGAAAGTTTTTTGACATAAACCTGTTCTACCCGACACAAAATCATTCCACTCGACATGATTGTTAGGCCTAGCCAATAACTGACGTAATATCACCGTTGCAATAAATATTTTGTTTTTCTATGTTATGAGTTCAAAATTAGACTATGCAAGGAATGAGATTTCTGTGAATTTAATATAAAGTTAGGTGGGATCAATTATTTAAAAGTGGGTATTGGTGGATGATCTGCTCTTAAATACCTCATTTTAGTTCATTGTGGTTTATTTCATTTGTATATAATTACCTATAGATTAAAAGTGACACATAACCCTCTTGGGATTGTTGGAGTAAAATATACTGTTGCATTTTTTTTTATTTGATTTAATTGGGCGTGTAGACAATGCAACATTGGGAGTTTGAGAATAAAAAAGAAAATTTGACAACGCATCATTTGGATTGTTAATGAATTTAGATTTGAACAATGAAAATAAAATGAGGCAGATAATCAAATCCTATTCATATCGGACTTTTAAAATTAAAGTTTAATTAGTTAAAATCCAATTCGTTTGACAGGCTTACATGGTAAGAATTGAACTGACATAAAATTTAGTTTTAAGGGATTAATCAAAACAGTTAGTAAAGTTTAGGGACCCTTTATGTAATTTACTCAAGAAAGAAAACACCTCGGGGTAAAATTGTACTCACACGAGTACTTTCGTTTCCGTCACCAAAAGGAGAAGAAATAGCGTCCCAGTCTCCCAGGGTTACAGACGTCGCCGGAAAATGAGTACTCCGTCGCCCGAGCATTCGCCGCTTTGCTCTCTGATTGACGAGCTTCTTCGTCCGTACACCGTCAGTTCAACTAAATTCTGATTCTTTTTCTTTTTCTATTTTTCCCTATGTTTTCTTATTTATCGTTGTATCTGAAGCAGCAATCGGAGTTTCCCTTGACCAAAGAAAGCGAGAAAGACCTATTAATCGCTCTCTCCCAGGTTGTTACTCTCTCTCTCTCTCTCTCTCTCTCTCTCTCTCTCTCTCTCTCTCTCTTTCAAGTTGTTGCATTAGTTCCTTGTATATGGAACCCTAACGTTTATGATTCTATCTATTCAGGTCCTGAGACAAATCAAATTTTGGACTCATGAACTTGATTCCGACAACGACAACGTCAGGCTTTTTTCTCTATTCTCTGACTACTTTTTTTTTTTCCTATCAATGTAGTTCTTAAAATGATGTTAAAATATTTCAAAAATCATGATAAAGATCCAATTTTCAATAGGACACTATGGAAAAACCTGCAGATAACGGACAATTTCCTGTTGGCTCCAAGCTACATTATGAAGAGCACCATTGTTTAACTAAGATCATAGGTGACTTGGTAAGTGTTCTGCATCAATGTTACAAAAATTGCATGCTGTTTTCTCTTTTCGTACCAACAGTAATTGTTTTGATATCTCATTTGTTGTATGTTACATAGTATTATTGTTATCATGATTGGTATTTTGAGGCTTGGATGGAGGGCTGGCAGTTGCTATATTGGTTGCTGATAATGCATACTTCTAAGTTTCTGCCTTGATCTTGTTTTGCACAGGAGATTGTGATTTTGGTTGTTATTGTAGATGTTTTTGTTAGCTGCTGAAAGTCGATATGTTCAACATTTGGCAGGCAACATTATTGTGATAATTTCTGAGTTTGTGGTTGCAATGGTATGCCACAATTTGCTAACTTCATCTTTCATTGCATATCCCATTCCAGAATTCTATTTGCTGCATCTATTTGACAATAATTGTTTTGCAGGGGAGCAATTGGGGTGAACTTATGCATTTGTTGTGTCTTTGCTTGGAGTTAGCAATTTGTAATGCTTATTCATCTTCCTTCGAGCCTTCGACAACAAATGAAATAGATTTAGGTTGTGATTCATCAAGTTCCATTACAGCCTTAAAACCGAGACTGAAAAATGCAAATTTGTCTTCACTGGCTGGTATTGTTCGAGTTTTACGCAACATCCTGAAACACTTGAAGGTGGAATCTGATGGTCACCTGTTAAAAGTGTACTTCGGTTCTATTGGTTCTTGTCTTTCAAATGTGCCTTGGGATCTGTTGGATAGCATTCTTATTGGTCAGAATGGTGACGTTCTGAGAAGCTCCAGTGTGGATGCTTTGCTATACTCTAATGTTGCTCAACCTGAGCCAAGAATTACATTTAAAGGAAATCTCATTCAGTTCTTCTGTTCTTTGGTTGAGCAAAGTGGATTCGTGGAAGCTGCAGGTGGCTCTCAACACAAGCATTCAGTTATTTTTGAAATACATAGCGTTCTTCCTAAACTTTTAGCCTGGTGCCTTGACGAGCAAGGGGACTGCACGTGCATCCCTCAGTATTTTAGACATAAAATTTTGGTAAGTATGCAAATCTATATCTTTTTTGATGATGAAAAATTTGGATCAATGATGAATATACTGTAGACATGTTATTGAAAAATAAAATAGGAATCTGAGAATTCAAAACGATCTCATGACATGCAAAAACTAGTTCAAAGATCTCATCGTATTTCAGTGATCAGTTGTAATGGTGAACAGATTTCATGAACGGCAATCCATATTTCCAATAAAAATCCATGCTTTTGTCCGAAACCAATAGGAAAATTGGACACCTTTTGTTTTAAGACATCACCAGTCCAGATGAAACTTGAATACCTGTTCATTGCCACTTGCTTCCATCAGCCTAAATAGGCAACCTGTACTTCTATGTTTGTCACAGGTTCTTTCGTCCATTTTAGCTCTCGTTGTCCTGTGTTTACCATGTAGTGTAGAGTTGCTTTGGTTGGGTTGTAACGATGTGGATGCTTCTTAACGTGGAGTTTGAAGCTATAATTGATCTGGTTGAATGTAATACTTTGTTTTTAAGGTGGCAAATTAGTCTAAGGTTGCATTTTGTTTTCTATATTTAGTTGCGGTTAGAAGTTAGAGGGTGGGCTTTGACATAGCTGTAAGGTTGCTCCATTGCTTTCATCAACCCTTTATATGTTTTATGCTGCTTAAAATGCGTAAGATCCCTGCACATCTACCGATTTGGAGCTGTTTATGTTATCTTGGTATCTGCTGATCCCTATTAGGATTCACCTAGTTTGCATTGGAACATAACTTTGTTTATTTTAGCAGAATTGCATGAGATCAATTTTATACTGTTATCTAATTCCCCATAATTGGGCTGATGAGCTTGCATTCTGCAGATACTAATGAGCAGGCTTAGTGTTCAAATCCACTTGGAATGCTCCATTCTTGTCTCATGGTTGCATCTTATCCACAAGCACTTTCAAGATCTTTTATTGCAACCTATAATTCAACTGGAGTCTGATAAGGATGACTGTCTAGAGGGCTCGCCATTTTTGGTCAATGTTTTTGATGATGGAAAACAAATTTTTTCTTCTCGCCATTTACAAAGGCTGGCTGTTCTCTTTTTCCTGAAGAGTTCCTTGAGTTTGATAAGTCTGAGAGAAAGAAGTGATGAAAGGTACGTTAACATAAATTTGAAATCTTGCTTGAATATTAAACTGAATTGGGACCTCACTTGTTGCAGTGGAAAGGAAGGTTCCTCAGAGCTTTATGAGTGGCTTCAAGGGCATCTTCCTGTTGATATCTTTGCGGACCATAACTTGTACTTTGAAAGATGTGTGAGCTTTGCCTTATCGTTCCTTCAGCTGTATATGCATGAGGTTATCTTCTTGCTTCTTTTCAAGCTATAAATGCCATTTTTTTTGGAATTCTATTTATTTGTCTCAACGGAAGTATTAATAAATCCAATATTTCTTCCTCTCTTGTTTTGGCTTATAGGTGACTTTCTGAAATTGCATATGGTTTTTTGAATTAAGTCTTATTGGAAGCTACATGCTCCATATTTTACTTTGTGGCTAGAGGGAATGACGTATCCAATTTGTGTACACAACATTGTGATGGGGGTGGTGCGTGTGATGTGAATTTGTGGAGTTTCCAATTTTTTTCACGAGGCAGCTAGGTAGGCTTTGTTGGAAGCATAAATTTTCTTCCCATTTGATGAAAGCAAACAGTAAGCAGGGTCATTATGGTAATAAATATATAGGATAGGTACTGTTTGAGCTTGATGCATGGCCAGGGAGGAATATTATATGCCATTTCAACTTAAAGAACTGTCATAATGAGTGACAAGGCTCCCACCTTGTAGTGGGACTTGAGAGGGGTAAGCGGCAGGAAATCTCACGCCCTATTTGGAGATATTGATTCTCGACAGGATGTTTTTCAACTAATGACGTTTAAACTTTAGAAGTTTTATTATCTGGTCTATCACTTTCCTTTGTGTTAAAGTAGAAACTGTGAGAGAGAGAAATAAGAAAAATAAGTGTGTGTGTGTGTGTGTGTGAGAGAGAGAGAGAGAGAGAGAGAGAGAGAGAGAGAGAGAGAGAGAGAGGCCATCCATGGTATTAGGGACAGAAGATTTGACAGCAGTATTGGACGTTTTCGAGGTGGGGGAATGCTGAGTTTGTTCTTAAATATCAACAAACTCTATAGTTGTTGCAGATTAATTACTTGCTATTTATTGTTCTTCTAATATGGCTGTTTCAATCTGATCCTCCTAATTGCCCTCATTGAAGGAGTTGCTGGAACAGTTGAGCAGAATGGGCAAAAACCAATTGATTAAAGACGATTGAATTTGGAGTGACGAGTGCCAACATTGAGATTAGTGAACTCAAAATCAATTGGCAGTGAGCGGGGAGATCCCTCAAGTATATAAACCAACTTTGGGTGATTCTAATCATTCTATTTGTGATAAATGTTCTTTTTACATCCTTCCTCATGCGAGACCAGGTTTCGCACTCATGGTTAACAAACAAATAGATAAACATGCATACGGGAAAATTGAAATGGGTAAGAGACTTGACCCATTGACCAATCAAGGCTTAGTTTTTATTTTATGTTAGAGCATCCAACCCAAAACTAGTTGGCAATGAATAGAGAGGTCCTTTAAACACATAAACTAACCTTGGGGGATCTTAGTCATTTGACGTTGGAGACAAGCTCCCCGTATACCTAATACTTTTTATTATACTAATAGAAAGCCTCAGTTCCATATCAAGCAGTTGTCCTTCTAAATGGTAGTTGCATTTTGATGGTCAAGTTTTTCTGGTGGAACAGAAAACTTTGCTTTGGATTTGTGGATGGAAATCTTCGGACTGATCATTTATCTTAATTTTTCCTGGTTTTGAACTTGTTTTGGTTGTGTAGTATACATTATATTGTACATAAGATAAAGGCAATTGCTTAAATAGACAGCATATTTAAAGGCTTTTACTGGTTCAGTTACTGTTGAATGTATTATTTCAACAGGAGAATACCCCCTCCCCAAGCAAATGAGTTGTAAATACCAATTTCTCCTTTAATGTGTTCTCTGGTTAGCTTCTTCAAAAACTTATATTTGTAGGAATTATGTAGTTTTCATATTATACCAAAGTTCAACAGACATGGATATCTTGTTCCTTATCATATTTTCTTATTCTGACTTCAGATGCAAACCCAGTGCATATGAGTTTCTCCATTAAGCATACATATTGATTCATTGAACCTAATTGCTCACCAACTGCTTAATTGTAGGATGATATCCTATTTGAAGTGCTCTTGCAACTGTTTTGTGTGCCTTTCTTCCCGGAGCGACAGTGAGCAATGCAAATATTCCCTTACTTTTAAGGATTAAGAAATGTATTGGTTTAACTAATTAGTTCTTTAATGAGATTTCATTATATGTAGGGTTTGCAAAGGCAGGACTTTTCAGGAGGTGAATGATAATATGCTTTTCCTTGTTTCAGATGTTTTTAATCCCATATCTTTATTCCATCTATTTCTTGCTGAGGTAAGTTCATCCATTCCATCTGTGGTCCCCAGGTGTATATTTTATTTCACTTACAAGAATAATGTAGTCATTTTGTTTTCATTCCTTCTGTTATTGAATGGATAAAGGTATATATGTCCTGCTCCATGTTGTTTACAGATACTTTATGATCATCAAGTTCTTCTTGATTACCTTATCTCCAAAGACACCGGAGCCAGTTCGGCTGAATATCTTTTGAGGTATGCCATATTTTTCTCATAAACTTAACTTTGATCTTTGCTTGTAGTTTGTGAATTGTTGCAAGTTGCATATGTCATTTGGCAATTAAGGAAACCTCTTAGCTGCTGTAGGCTTGCCAACTGGTATGCAGTTCAGAGGAATATGTTGATCCACAAAAAAAAAAATAAAAAAAATGCAACAGACATGATCATTAAGGATCACACTTTAGAAGAGCTCTCTGTCTATACTTTGTATCTGATTGCAGCTTTGGCTATTGTCTGGGTCTCACTTTTCCGCATCTTGTTATGTTTCTTGTTAGGTGCTTGCGAATTGTATGTGATTCATGGAAGTTCTTTGTTGAATTTTCTGTGGGTGGCGAAGTTACAAATCAATCATCTTGCAAGAAAAGGAAGGTTTCAGGGGGTGTTACGGATCTTAAGGGAAAGGTGTCCTCTGCCTCAATGGAAGGTGATGGAATTTTTCTGTCACCCCAAAATGATTGCAAGAGAGGCCATCCATATGGATGTAAGCACTATAGAACTGAGAGGCCACCATTTGATGATGCTAAGGATTGTTTGCTTTCCCTAAAAATATCCCTGGAGAATCTTCATCGGAAGAATTTGTTTCCATATGATCCACAAGTACTTCTGAGACGGTGAGCATATAATCTTACATATTTCCTCTCTCTGTCAGTACATTCCTTATGAGAGGTTGTTGTTATCATTTATTGAAATTTGAAATGATTATACTTCAACTAATTGCTTGTCAATTTTACTTGTGGAGCAGAATTATCATATTGATGCAACCCTTTCAATTTCATTGATGAAGATAGTTCTTTAGTATATTTCCTGCCCATTCTTTAGAATGGCCACAGGATTTTATGTGGTGAACTTCTTCTGGTACATTGTTTTGACCCCTTCTGAGCTTGACTACATTAGTCTATGTGTAAGATAGGGATAATGGATTAGCACGTGATATATATACTGCTAGGTTGCAGATCTCGGGCAAGAATTCTTCTGCTGATTTTGGAAATTATATGGATTAGCTGATATGGACTCACAAGCCCTAAATGATTCATTGTCANTAGTCTATGTGTAAGATAGGGATAATGGATTAGCACGTGATATATATACTGCTAGGGTGCAGATCTCGGGCAAGAATTGTTCTGCTGATTTTGGAAATTATATGGATTAGCTGATATGGACTCACAAGCCCTAAATGATTCCATGCCTTTATTAGTGTTGAAGTGCTACTGTTATCAACAGGGTCTTTTTGTTTTTTGTATAATATGGCCATGCACCATGAAACTACAATATGAATGTTTTTTAATAGGGCGATGGTTAATTTCTCTTTTCCACATTGAAGCTACATGATAGACATTTTGTGTTATTTCAGTGACATTGAGAATACTTGGTATGCTACAAACAAAAGAGTGTTTATATGGTTCTTGAATTAAAATTTGTTCACTTTTAAGCCATCATAGTCTCCTTTTGATCTATTTCTATGTTTCTTTGTTCTTGTATTACAGGATTTCCATATGAATACTATTGCCTATAATTTGATGTGCTGACTGAACTGAACTTAGGACAACAGTTCATTTTTTTTTCAGTGGGTGTAATGTTACACGATAAATTAAAAATTGAATTGAAATGTCTCTTGAAAGTACGCCAATTTTTTAACAATGCTATTTCTCAGGCTGTCATGCATTTTTACTGTATTTCTCAGCAGCTGCATTATTACTCTTTAATTGCAGTTTAACAAGATTTCAAGGGCTTTGCCTTGACCTGAAGAAAATATAAACTTCAACACATGGAGGAAGTGTTTTGGATTTCAGTCCTGTCTTTTTCTTGAGTTACCATCGTTTCTCTTTATATGGTTGCTTCTCGAGATGCCATATTCCATTACTTGCAAGGAGTGCGGTTCTTCATGGTGTGGCCTGCAATGCAAACTAAAAGGTGAACCCTATGAAATAATACTGTAGATTGAGATTCTGATGGCTTGAATCTGCTAATTGTTCTAGTGACTTTCATATACAAATGGATGGAAATAGTTGTTATTGGGCAATGGAGGGACACAATTGAAATATCCTTGTTCTGTGACTTTTGCGGTTAGATCTTGTGTGACTTTTGACTTTTGATTGGTTATGGCTCACAATCTTTTTTGTAATGCAACCAAGCTATTGTTTACAACTACAAGTAGTTATGCAACATTTTGGGCTACTGCTCATTGTGATACTGTCATTGGATTAATAGTGCACCCAAGTATTAATTAATATTTACTATCAATTCAATGGTTATGATGTATTAGGTCAGTAAANTTTTGATCTATTTCTATGTTTCTTTGTTCTTGTATTACAGGATTTCCATATGAATACTATTGCCTATAATTTGATGTGCTGACTGAACTGAACTTAGGACAACAGTTCATTTTTTTTTCAGTGGGTGTAATGTTACACGATAAATTAAAAATTGAATTGAAATGTCTCTTGAAAGTACGCCAATTTTTTAACAATGCTATTTCTCAGGCTGTCATGCATTTTTACTGTATTTCTCAGCAGCTGCATTATTACTCTTTAATTGCAGTTTAACAAGATTTCAAGGGCTTTGCCTTGACCTGAAGAAAATATAAACTTCAACACATGGAGGAAGTGTTTTGGATTTCAGTCCTGTCTTTTTCTTGAGTTACCATCGTTTCTCTTTATATGGTTGCTTCTCGAGATGCCATATTCCATTACTTGCAAGGAGTGCGGTTCTTCATGGTGTGGCCTGCAATGCAAACTAAAAGGTGAACCCTATGAAATAATACTGTAGATTGAGATTCTGATGGCTTGAATCTGCTAATTGTTCTAGTGACTTTCATATACAAATGGATGGAAATAGTTGTTATTGGGCAATGGAGGGACACAATTGAAATATCCTTGTTCTGTGACTTTTGCGGTTAGATCTTGTGTGACTTTTGACTTTTGATTGGTTATGGCTCACAATCTTTTTTGTAATGCAACCAAGCTATTGTTTACAACTACAAGTAGTTATGCAACATTTTGGGCTACTGCTCATTGTGATACTGTCATTGGATTAATAGTGCACCCAAGTATTAATTAATATTTACTATCAATTCAATGGTTATGATGTATTAGGTCAGTAAATAAAATCAGCGAATTAGGTCCAAATAACATGTTTCACAAAATATTGATACTTTTACACCACCCTTCTCTCTGTGTGTCTCGCGGGGATATGTATTGGACAGCTAAACACTAAGAAATTTTCAACGCATGAAAACTTTTCACGGGGTATGGAAACGAGAGGTCAACTAGATGGAAGCCAAACGATGGGGCCAAGGATCTGTGATCGATCTGAAAAATCACTGCAGATATGATTCGGCCCCACCCGCATCCGAATCTGATCTATCTACTCAGCAATTCTTCTAGCGATTATTGGTCCTTCTCTCTCGAAGTAATCTGTGAGTCTCTCTCTCTCTTTGTATGTGTATGTGTCTCTTTATGATTGTTGTGTATTGGACCGCTAAACATGGAAGATGCTTTTCAACACATGGGAAATCTTGGTGCATGTGTGAAATTTATCAAGCTTAAATTACTTCCTATAAATAGTAAGGCTGCTTTAAGAGTGATGAACACAAGCAGAAGTCAGATAAAGAAGATTTAGGTAATGGAGAAGAGCGGGAGACATTTGTACTGGTTCATCGATCTTGCGGTGGGGCATGTTGTTGGTTTGAGGTGGTGACGGTGGACTACCAGGATGGAAGCTCTACCGCCAGATGAGAGGGTAGTTTTGGTGGGCCACAGTGCTGGTGGGGCGGCCATTTCTGTTGCTATGGAATGGTTCCCTCACAAAGTTGCTGTTGCCATTTTTGCTTCCACTGTAATGCCTGGTCCTGACTTCACTCTTCAATCAAGCTATCGGTGAAAAGGTATCCCAATTATCTTCTTTCTCTATTGGTTACATCATTGAAGTTTAGTTTAGATAATGATTTAACGGTTCGACAAAAAAAATTATCCTACCTAAGTTATGTTACATAGCTTTCATGATCAGTGACCCAACGACAGTGCCTTTTGCTTTGCTATACACATTTAAATTTGTAGCTCTCTATTGTTCTTCAGGCAAAAGTACAGATCGTTCGAGGATATTGGACTATTTCATGGACAACAAGTTTACATTCGACCCAAAGCACGTGTACCCGTCTTCTATGGTCCCAAGTTCTTATCAACCGAGTTGTATCAACTCTCACCACCTCAGGTAAGTGCTTGCCTGCAACCTTAAATATCTATGTTGATTCCACTAGCAAATAAGGTGCATATTAAGTAGGGGTGTTAATCGTGTCGGGTTAAACGGGTGACGGGTGAAAAACGTATAAACCCATACACGATACGTTTAATAAACGGATAAAAAATCTCAACACGAATACAACCCATTTAATAAACTGGTAATACGACACAACTCGTTTAATCCGTTTAATTTTTAAAAAATTATATTAATAAATTTTTATACTCTATTTTTTTTATTACTAATTGCACTTACCTCAAAAAAGAGGAATTTTAAATTAAATCTCATAAAAATAAGAGTTGAAAGCTTTAAAAAAAAAACAAGAGGCTATTGCCTTTTATAGGCAACTCACTCTCTCCATCTCCCCTAATTTTTTCCAATGTGGGGCAAAAATAAAAGACATTGGTTTGTCTTTGTCTTTCAAGTGCTATACAACTCCTCTCCTTTGTCTTTGAAAAATAAGATTTGAAGGTTTTAAAAATAAAAGTAAGAGGTCATTGTCTTTTATAGGCTATTCAACTCTCCTCATTTTTCCTCATTTTTCAATGTGGGACAAAAACAAAAGATATTTGTTTGTCTTTGCCTTTGAAGTGCTCTCCAACTCATCTCCTTTGTCCTTGAACTACTATTTTATTTTATTTTTATTGATTTCTTTACTTTTTTTTTTTTTATCAATTTTTTAAAATAATTATTAATTTATTATTATATTAATTTTATTTAAACGGATAAACGTGTGATAAACGGTTGGACAGATCTCACCCGAATACGACCCGTTTATTAAACGTGTTTGGCGTGTCAACCTATTTATCATCCAAACTTATTTAATTCGTGTCGATAAATCATGTCGTGTCAAATTTTGACAGTCTTAATATTAAGGCTCAGCAAATGGCCTGTGGCCAATGGGCTAATCCGTACACTACCTCATAATCCAACGAATATGGATATGAGCCTTGATTTTGGTCCACCAACGTGGTCTGTCATTAGCCTGACCATGGTTGGACAAAATTCAGACAAACAAAAAAGAACGCATCTCAAATTTTTTAAAAATAAAAGAGTTTTTATTTTTATTTTCATAGAGTTCGACTCTTGCAAGGTTGTTGGAGAGACCAGATCATGTGTCTAATGGTGCAGCGTTGTTGCAGGACACATCACTTACCAAGGAAAAGTATAAAGGAATAACAAAGGACAACTAAATGTGGATGACAGAAAATAATCCACCAAATGCGGTGGAGATTGGCTGTCCTTTGTTTTTTAATGATCCACTCTTGTGGTTGGCCAGCCACCAAAATGATAACACAGTCAAAAGTATTGCTGCATTGTTAGATTTATGCAGCTCAAATTAATTGCAATATGTAAATAGTAACGAAGCTTTAAGAGTGAAGAACACAAGAGAAAGAGGAAGATCTAGAGTTAGGTAATGGAGAAGAGTGGGAGGAATTTTTGTGCTGGTTCATGGGGCATGGTGTTGGTTTAGGGTGGCGACGCTGTTGAAATTGGCAGGTCATAGAGTCACCGCCCTCGACCTAGCTGCTTCTGGGATTAACCCAAAGCAGCTGTATGAGCTCCGTACCATCTCAGATCACCTGGAGCCATTGCTGTCATTCATGGCGGCGTTACCAGCGGAGGAAAGGGTTGTTTTTGGTGGGGCATAGCGCTGGTGGGATTGCAATTTCAGTTGCCGAAGAAAGGTTCCCTCAAAAAGTTGCTGATGTCACATTTTTGATCTTTAAAAAAAAAATTTGAATAACTTGTCAAATTTTTTTAGTATTTTGTCGCATTGTTTTTGTGTAACTTGTCACATTGTTTTTTATGTTGTTGCATTATTTTTGAGTAACTCGTTACATTGTTTTTGAGGATCTTGTCACATTTTTTTAATTATTTTTGAGTAACTTGTCATATTGTTTAATATGTTTTTTCGAAACCAACATGTCTAGTTGAGCAATTTCCGTCGGACTAGAAGAGAAGACGAAACTGTGATATGATGAAGAAGAATCTAAAATCTTGCCACACCAAAAAAAAAAAAATTGCTACATGCTATGTAAAACAAAAAACTTCTTCGAATAAAATTGAAAAAGTTGAAGAAAAAAACTTTTGGTTTAAAAAGACAATGCCAAATGAATTAATATCGGTTTTTTAAATTCAAACTGTTGTATATATCATAATAACACTGTAAAAAATATTTTCATATTAATTATATATAAATCAAGGTAGGGATAATTAGGTAATTTAAAAAAAAAGAAAACTAAAAAATCTACTTACTGACAATTTTTTATATTTATTTTGAAAATAAATGCTTATATGTTAAAGCCGAGAATTTATATCCAAATAAGACCTAGAAAGTGTACACACGTCCAATTTTTCCATTGTCTTGAAAATTATAAAGGGGTACACTTTTCAGAATTTATTAGTCTTAAAGTTCATAGCGCAGGCTTTTCTATTGTTAAGTCCTCGATCTTCTAAATAATTATTAGTTTTACAAATTTTTGTATTACATAATTGCCCCTAACTTAATTCATACAAGATTTTGACAGTCTTCTTGTTTTGTTCTTTTATTTTATTAAATAAAATATTTCCTAAATTAAAGACTTGATTAATAGTTTGAATTTGAAAGGGTTAATTATCTTAACTCATGAAAGATTTTGCAAGCCAACGTTTTTTCAAATTCTCGAGTCAGCCATTGAATCTTTTTATCTCTAGGTGGAAAATATTTTTTCAATTTCTCTAGAAGCCATTGAATCTTCTGTTTTTGGTCGTTGACTTATAAATTCAACCACCGAATCTTTGTCTCTTTACGAAGCCATTGTGTCGATTTTGTTTTTCAGAATTGTCATCAACTTCCACACACGGATCTTTTGTTCTTAGGTTTGAAGTGTTCCTTTAACTATTGGTTTTATTTTTCTATATAGAATTTTCAATTTTTCTTAAAATTTGAATTGGAGAATTCAAAAATATTATTCTTATTCTATGATTTTGGTTGTGTGAATTCAAATCAGTAGTTTTTGTGCTCAGTATATTACCTTTCATTATTTCTTCATCATAATATCTTTTATAGATTGATCAAAATTTCTTGGATGTGATTTTTGGACTTTAAAAAAATTATTTTGCTTTTGTTTTTCGGTATATGTCTCTATTTGTTGTCACAAGTTTTAATTATTCAAATGTTAATGTGAATTTTATCAAAATAAATTATTTTTTGTTATTTTCAAAATTTCTCCATTACAATTCTGCGAATTAATGAATTATTATTAATATCTGATGAACGTATTTTATATTTTGGATTTATGTCACTGTTTCATTAATGTGACAACAAATAGTGAATCGACACAACTCCCAAAACATGAAAATTGGTGCTCAAATTACAAAACTAACCTAATAGTGTGACAACAAAGAGTAAATTCACACTTAACAAAAACTATGAAAATTAGTACTCAATTCAAGAAGCTAGTGTAATAGTGTGACAGTAAAGAGTGAATCCACTAGAAATAACTCTCAAAAATTAAAAATCAATACTCAGTCCACAAAGTTAGGGTAAAATTGTGAAAACAAAGAGTGAATTGACGCTTAATGCAAATAATGAAAATTAGTACTCAATTTCAAGAAACTAGTTAATAGCGTGACAACAAAGAGTGAATCCACACATAATTTCTAAAAATTAAAAATTGGTATTTAGTTCACAAAGATAGGGTAAAAGTGTGACAACAAAGAGAAAATTCACACAAACTATAAGACATATTGACAACAAATCAAGTTGAATTTCAGTATACTGTAGGAATAGTGTATAACTTGCAAAATTTATGAATGTGTACAAAACATTAAATTGAAGTAAAGATTTGAAAATTTTTAGAGAGAAAATAATATTTAAAAACATAAACACTACAATCTAAAGAACCTTGAGTAACAGTATAGAGAATTCATTAAACATCGTGTATACACCTCAGAATGATTCTTGTCATTTTTGCTTTCTTTTGATGCAAACCATTCACAAATGTGCCAAAAAAACAAAAAACTTGGCTCTTGATTAAAAAGATTCTTTGGTTCTTTCGGAATTCTTTGTAGTTTTTGGACAAAACAAACACCAGAAATAGATGAATTCATCCTTGTTCACAAAGGATCACTTAACCTAAACCAATCTTAGGTCCTCGTATCCTAGAATGTACATAAAAAGATTGTAAATAATCTAAAAATATGTAAAACTAAAAAAAACAACAAACTCAAACCAATAAATTACTTTTTTAGGAGATCATCATCTTGCTGGAATTGTGTCATTGTTGATCACTGGAGTTGCACCGTTGTGTTATAGATGGTCGCTACAACAGACAAAGTAAGTTCGCTAAAAAATAAGGATAATGTTGGTATGCTCATTGAAGCAATAATATAAACACTTTGTGTTTCGGTGACTGTGGTGAGTTTCGATAGCAATGTGTGCTTGTGGGGGTGGGTAGGCGTTGTTGGTTAGGGAGGTTTCAGTGACAGTAGTGGGGACTAGGGAGGAAAGGGGGTGGATGTGCTGGTTAGTTGTAGGTAAGAGTTTGACTTTTGATATATAGGGTGTTTGGTGGACTGTTATGAGTTTCGGTGACAGATGGGAGAGGGAAGAAAGGGGTGGTTGTAGTAGGGGGAGACATACGTAGAGAGAGAGAGAGAGATGAGGAATACCCGAGTGAGGCTTCAAGATTATCGATGGATGATCACTGCGTCTTCAATGGTGCCTCCATAGTGTTGCTGTGAAGAGGGAGGGTTTTGGTGAGGAGAGAAAAAGAGAGAAGAGAAAGGGGCGCCGGTGGCTATAGGGGCGGCTTAAGCCAATTTGAGGTCTTAAGTAAAAATATTAAATGAAGGTCTTTTTATTTTTAGTATTATTTTTTTAAAAAAATTAATTTATTTTTAATTTTTTATGTGAAAGGGAGACAAAAGAAGGATGTGTTAATATTGTCGAGAAAGAGATTTTAATTTTTTTTATTTTTTATCACAGAGAAGGAGAGAAAATGCTTAATTTTAACTTTTGTTTTTGTTTTTTATTTTTTTTATTGGAGAGAGAGAGAGAGGGTGGAAGTAAATATGAGTTGACTTTTGAGTATTTTTTTAATTTCTAAGTTTTTAATGTTATAGATTTGATTATAGGCCTAAATTATTGCAATAAAAATTTTGATCAGATTTAATTTTTTGGAGCTTTTTTGTAGGGCTTAAAATTTAATGGATTTAATTTTTTTTGTGGGATAGAGATGTACCTAAAATTATGGGGCCTGAAGCCCATATTTTTTTCCCATACTATTTGGTCGGTCCTGGGTGGCTTTTTATTGGGGGCAAAGATTGAAAGGAGGAACAAATAGAGAAAGAGAGGGAGGCAGAAGAGAAAGAGGATATTAAATAATTGAGTGAAAAGATCGATATAGATGCAGATGATAAAGAAAAGTGGAGTAAATAATATAATATCATCATTATATTGAATATTCTTGAGTGTCATGTGAAAAATGATTTATCTGATATGGAAAGGATATTATTTAGAGCAGCATGAGCGGTGGTCAAAATTTAAATATGAACATTAATTTTAGATTTAGACAGAATTTTAGATTTAGATGACATTGATTTTGGGCGAGATTGAGAGGTGAATTCAATGTAGTGGTGTCAATTTTCGAAACTTAAAATTTTGAGCAGTAAAAATATTTCAAAAGGGCTAATTTGATATGTCGAATCAAAACGATCTGAGACGTCAATAGCTTGAGACAGCTTGAGATAACGCCGTCCATTGGATGATGATTTTTTTAGCTTCGAAACGATCTTAGCCACTCTTTGTCTCCAAAATTTAAAATCGTTATATTTTATTATAAAGATATATATTTTATTATAAAGATATACATTTTATTTAGTGTATTAAAAAAACTAGTTAATTGCATTGAAAGTTCCCAAAGTATGAGGTTTGTCTCATTTTAGTTCCCAATATATCAATTGCATCATTTTGGTCTTTGAAGTATTGAATATGTTTTTATATAGTCCCTCAAGCAGACAACGACTACATTGCTGACGATTTTTTTATCATAAACTTGTTACGTAATACTTAAATATGGACAAAAAAATAATTTAGATAATTATTGACTAAATTTTTATTGAAATTTTGGTTAAATAGTTATTCAAATTACATAGTTTTGATCATAAATTATTTAAATTTTGGTCAAAAGTTATTCATATTATACATTTTTTGTCAAGAACTACCCAAAATTTGTTTAAGAACTATTAAAATTATTTTTTGTCCGTATTTAAGTATTACATGACAAATTTATAATAAAAATAATTAGCAATCTGGACGTTGTTTGTTTGAAAAATCAAATATAAACATATTTAATATTTCAGGGACTAAAAAGATACAATTAAAATATTGGGGATTAAATTGAGATAAACTCTATACTTTAGGGACTTCCAATATAATTAATCTAAAAAAAATTTATGGCGTGACATTTAAAAGCCAATCGAGGGATATTTATCATGTGGATGAGTGCTATTAATGACGACATTGACTTATATGAATTTGATGGGCAAAACAAGAAAAAAAATTGAAAGTTGTTGAATAGTTTTGCAAAATCGAATTATAAACGTAAATCATGAAACCATCTAACCTTATACGCAATCCGTAGTACTGATCTAATTTGCCATCTAACCTTGAATTTAATTGATGGATTAGGTTATTTAGATCAAGCTTATTAATAAATTGAGTAATATTATTTGAACTTAAAAATTTATTTTAATTTGTTGATCTAGTAATGTAATTTCATCATATTTCAATGTTTGATGAAATCTACAGTTAATCTAAATATTATAGTGAATTAGCTCAATAAATTAGATTTCAATAACATTGGTTCATTGTTGCTGTTTTAGTGGGCATGGTGTTGCGTAGGCAGCACTGGAATGCTGCGGTCAAAGCTGGAGTGTTTATGGCCAACTTTGGTGTGGTCCCACCTTCTTGACACCAGCCTCATTCTTTAATGTAGTTAAACAGAGAGAGAGAGAGAGAGAGAGAGAGAGAGAGAGAGAGAGAGCGCTTATAATGGAGCTGTGGTGGGCGACACCTTGAGGTTAATTATGGGCGGCCCCCAACTGCTGCTCTAGTGGAGGTCTTACCTTTGACCCCAATGCTGCTTTAGTGGAGGTCTGAGTTTTGTCCCACATATAAATAGCAACGAAGCTTTAAGAATAACGAACACGAGGAAGAAGTAGAGTTAGGTAATGGAGAAGAGTGGGAGGCATTTTGTGCTGGTTCATGGAGGTTGTCATGGGGCATGGTGTTGGTATAGGGTGGCGACGCTGTTGAGAGCGGCGGGTCATAGAGTCACCGCAGCTGCTTCTGGGATTAACCCAAAGCAGCTGTATGAGCTCCATACCATCTCAGACTACCTCGAGCCATTGTTGTCATTCATGGCGGCGCTACCTTCGGAGGAAAGGGTTGTTTTGGTTGGGCACAGCGCAGGAGGGATTGCCATTTCAGTTGCCATAGAAAGGTTCCCTCAAAAAGTTGCTGTTGCCGTTTTTGCCGCCGCTGTCATGCCTGGTCCTGACCTCACTGTTCAAGCTATCTTTGATGAGGTACTGTTGACTTCCTCTTCTAGTATTCTATACAACCCCCCCTCTCTCTCTTTATAACATGTTAAAATATTTTAATAAAAAATGGAAAGTATATTTTTAGAGCAGTTTAATAAAAAAGAAAATATCTTTTAAGATATGAATAATATTGTCATTGTTTAGAAAATCTCAATCTCACGCTCGAAAATATATTAAAAGTTAAAAGAGTTTATATTGAACTCTTGTGTGTGTGAGCAAAGCAAGACATTTGACATAGCTCGTATTGTATGAGAAGGTGAAAAGGGAGGAGAACAAAACTTAGATAAATAAATGTGTCGAAATAACATAATGATAAATTGGTAGACACCAAACCTCTCGTACTCCCCGCTAATAATAGTAATACACACACTTGTACATGCATTTCAAGTATTATGTATTAAATTCTCAAATTCAGTACAAATATTATCACTGTTAGATTTTGAATCTTTAGTGATTATTTCATGTACTATGTATTAATTTTCTTTGTGCAAAAATACAGACGGTTCAAGGATTGGACTATTACATGGACAGTAAATTGACATTCGACCCAGAGCAGCGCATAGCCTCTGTCTTATTTGGCCCCAAGTTCTTATCAACCAACTTGTATCAACTCTCCCCACCCGAGGTGAGTGTTTCCCTAAGATCTTAAAAATATACATTATGTCAACAAAAAATATTATTGACACGTAATTTAAAGACGTAATCTGGTGGACTAATTTAAGATATTCCATTAGATTAGGTGCATTTTCGTTTCTTTTCTTTTCTTTTTTTTGTGTTCTTTTGTAGTTTTTTTTTAATGTATTAGTGCCATGGTGAATTTTACAGGATTTGACTCTTGGAATGCTGTTGATGAGACCACATCCTTTCTTTTATGATGCAAAGTCAATGAGGGACATAACTTGTACCAAGGAAAATTATGGATCAGTCCATCGAATTTTCATCGTTAGTAGTCAAGACCAAGCAATGACAAAGGACATTCAAATGTGGATGATCAAGAATAATCCGCCAGATGAGGTGAAGACGATCAATACGGATCACATGGTCATGTTCTCTGAGCCTTTTGACTTGTCCTCCAACCTGCAGGAAATTGCTGACAAGTATTATTGATTCTGGCACTTGTAGCTCTTATATATTGCTCAACCTACTGTTTAGAATAAACAAATAAGATTGTTGGCATGAGAAAATAAATAAATAAAAATGGTTGAGCTACACTTGCGTCATGGCTTACGTCTATCTGAATTATTACTTCTTTGTCTACTTCTTGTCCGATCCATTGGGCCTTTAGGCAGCATCATGGACTGGAACATGCTTCTGATCTATCATGGCCTTAGTTTCTTCTGTAATTACATTAAAACTGAAACATAATTTGAGCATCAATAAATTCGATCGTATTATATCAAATAATAATTTCTTTTCTTCTATCCCCGAGGGGTGGTCTAGTCATGGAGACAAAGATTAGTCGTATACTTAGACATCTTGAATTTGAAGCTTGAAAATTCTTTAGGGATTAAGTCATGAGAAATTTATCTTTTATGAATTATCTAATTCTGGCGTAAATGATTTGTCTTTGATTAAATTGAGGAGATGAATAATTGAAGCGCATAAGCTGGCACAGATATTACCCCTAACCATAATACCAAAAATATAAACAAATTATTTTTTCCGTTCATTTTTCGTTAATTACATAATTAAAAATTAATTTCTTACACCAAAGAAGAAAAAAGGGAAAACATTGACAGGAAACCTTTTAATTTACCCAATGTACTCATGACAGGAAACCTTTTCCTTGGAGGGCGAAGTTCATGTCGACAATCGCATTGTTTTAACATATTATTGTTGTACGAGTAGTTCATTCGAACCTCCACCAATTCACCATCTCTCTCTCTCTCTCTCTCTCTCTCTCTCTCTCTCTCTCTCTCTCTCTCTCGATTGGATACGTATAGGACAGCTAAACAAGGAAGATGCTTGTTACACCACGAAATTTATTGGTCCTCCACTCCTCCCTCGAAGTAATCTCTCTCTCTCTCTCTCTCTCTCTCTCTCCCGTGTGTGTATTTTAAGGTTAATTGTATTTTTAGTCTCTAAAGTATGTCTGTTTTGTCCGCTTAATTTTTATTGTATTAATTTTGTCAATTTAATCCTTAAAGTTTAAATTCATGTCATTTTGGTTTTTAAAGTTTCAATTTGTGTCATTTTGGTCTTTAAAGTTTTTATTTGTGTCATTTTGATCCCTAATCAGACAATTTGTTAAATATTTTTGGTGGAAGTGACCACATATCATTCTTTCAGATCGTATTACATGCCAAATATGTGATTATTCCGTGAAAAACTAAACCGTCCATTTATATAGTATTCATTTAAACAAATTGAATTACTATAAGCACCAAATTGATAAAATTGAAACTTTAAGAAAACCAATTGACAAAATATATATATATACATAGACTAGCGCGATCATAGAAACTCTGCACCGTAGTCTCTAATAGGTATTTTTTACGTATACCGTTAGATTACAATCTAATGATCACTAAATAAAGATGCTCAAAATTAATTGTCAAGACCTACCTAATTTAGTTCCAAACTAAATAGGAAATGTCTATGAGTTATTAATTGTGATCTAGTTCTATAAGAAAAGTCTATTTAATTTTTTGAAATTTAATATAAGTAAATATTTTGACCCTTTTACGTATGTTATACGAGTTGACCTATTATGTGGCTTCAATTGGGGTACGCCATTGTTAGGTTGGTCTTTCTAATTTTTTGGTCAAATTAATCTTTATTTTCTCTCTTTAACTTTTTAATCAACCCAATTAGAAGTGCTTATTAAGTTTCAAATTAGCATTGCATATCAAAAACCTTTGCCATCATTATTTTATTTTTACACCGAACATGAGAAAAATATTGTGAACCTCATCCATTGCCTTCATTCTTTTATTGTTTCCTATCTCATCAATAAAAAAATATTTTTCCCAGTTGCAAATTAAATTCAAAAAAAAAAAAATCTAAAAAGTTTATCTAGTGCTATTTTCTTGTACAATAAACATTAATGAAGTTAAAATTTTCCATGATACAACATGAAATTTTGCTCAATTCAATGATATCAAGTTGAAATCAAGTTTGAGTATGAAGAGTTGTAGTTGGTTGGAGATAAAAACCATTTGGTCGTTAGATTTGATCCGTTCAATATTAGTTAATAAAAAATAAATTTTTTTATTAATCTTAAGAGTTTTTCCTTATAGGACTAGATCACAATTAATAAGTCATAGACATTTTCTATTTAGTTAATAACTAAATTAGGTAGGTTTTAACAATTAATTTTAAGCATCTTTGTTTGGTGACCATTAGTTCATGATCCAACGGTATACGTAAAAAGTACCCACTAGAGACTACGGTGCAGAGTTTCTATGATCGCGTTATTCTCTCTCTTTCTCTCTCTATATATATATTAAAGACTAAAAGTATTATTAACCTAAATTTTTATTACTTTATCCAACATCGTACTGTAATCACAAAAATCTAATAAACAATATGTAGGTTTTTGGTGGGCTAGCTATGACAATCAACAGCCCTAGCCCACGATCCATCCTAGTCCATTTACTAGCGGATCGGGTGGACCAGCCCGTTGTCAACCTAGGTCTAAATATACCCCGCGACCGACTCATACTAAAACTGTAAATACAAAAGAATCAACTAAAACTTATATTTTTTGTTTTTTATTTTTTATATTTTAGACATTATCGAAAGTGCTCAATTCATATTTTTTCTATTTTATTTTGGAAAGAGTAGACTAAAACGGATTTAATTCAAGCATTTGGTCTAGATTCTAAAAAATGAATAAAAAAATGCAACTTGAGTTGTTTTTTGCAGGCCTGAGATCAACATAAAGCCATGGGAGTCATTGAAGAAAGAACTTGAAGAAAGCAACCATAAGACCAAGTGGGTGGAGAGGGAACCTTATGCTTACTGGAAAGGCAATGCTAGGGTTAGTCCAACCAGACAATACCTCATGAAGTGCAATATCACAGACAACCAGGACTAGAATGCTAGGTTATATATACCCTGGTAATAACTCTACTCCTTGTAATTCTAGTTTAAGGCAATGCTAGAGTTAGCCCAACAAGACAAGACCTCATGAAGTACAACATCACAGACAAACAGGACTGGAATGCTAGGTTATATACCCTGGTAATAACTCTACTCTGTGAAATTCTAGTTCCACCCGAGCATCGCCGGTTTAGTAGGAGAACAAGAGAAAAGATACAAATTTATGCCTACTCGTAGTTTAAGTTCCACACGATGCATGTAATTTGCAATTAACTACATATATCCAAAACTTGCATTTATAATTCAATAAGGGAGGGGAGGACACTAGTCAGCACCTAATGTGGGTTCAATGCCTAACAAAAATGGCCAAAAGCAAACAGGGCGAAAAAGAGATGTATGACTGAGGGAGGGAGAGAAAGAACGCATGCACGGAAATTATGTCTGTCGAAGGTTCAAGAATATATGAAAGGACATCTAAGACTAAGGAAGAATTCAAGTAAGTCTATTACGGAGAGAATTGGTGATGAGCTCGTCTTGCTTGCTGGAAGAGAAGAAGCTTATGGACCACCTTTTTAACTAAATAGAACTTAAATAGAAAATTTCCTATTAAGTTTGTTGTGTGTATTAAATAAGATGTTATATATTTCTCAATTTGATGTCAAAAATTATTAAGGTGTTTGGTTTATAATATCACCCAGTGGTCCGTCCCGTGCGATGCACGAAATTATAATTCATTTCTAATTTTTTGTTATTTAATTTATAATTTTTTTCTTTCGTTTAATCATTTGAGAAGATAGATAAAACAATTATAAAAAAAAGTTTGGGTGATTAAATTTTTTTTGAATAAATTTTAAAAAATAGGAGTTGGGGAAGTTGAGAGATGATTACAAAATTAAAAAATTCTAAATTTAAAAAAATTAGGAAATGTGGAGGGAATGCTTCTCAAGCTTTCTCCTTTTTAATTTCTTTGTTATATATACTAGTAGTTGGCCCCGAGCAATGCACGAGATTATAATTCATGTTTTTTTAATTTTTTTATTTTATTACTCCATCCGTTTTTAAATATCTGTCGTTTAAGGTTTTTGCACAGGGATTAAAGAAGCTATTAAATAGCTCTAACATGAGTAAAACATAATTGCACAAGACTAAAATATTCTTATTCAATACGTATTGGTAAAGAAAGAAATATGAAAGACACTTAGCCTTCACCAAATCTAATGCATTGAAAAGTTAAGGGTAAATTTGGAAGAAAAAATATTAATTATGCTTTGGTTTCATAAAATGACAGATATTATGGAACAAAAAAATTGTGTAAAACGACAGATATTTAAGAACGGAGGAAGTGCTTGAGAAGTTAAGTAAATAATTATATATATGTTTTTGGGTGATAACAAGTGATTTTAAATTTTTTTTTTAAAAATAGTTAATTATTAAAGAGTTGGTGGGTAATTACTAATGACACATGTTAGCATCTGATTGAAGAGAACTTTAAGTTTTGAATTAAAAAATTCTAAATTCTAAGAAATAAGGAAAATGGGAGGAAAGGCTTCTCAAGCCACCTTCCTCTTAATTTGATTGTTATATATATATATAAATACACTAGTAATTGTCCGTACCTGAAGGCACTAGTGTAACACAAAAAATCTAGGACCAATAGTGTAATATAAAAATAATATATCGATAATTTATTTTTTTCTTTGTTTTTCTAGAATTACACAACTCCAAATAAATTAAGTTCTTTACTTTTCTTCTCTCTAATTTTTCATCTTGGTCCAATCAAACCAAATTTAACTCAACTATGATCCAGCCAATTAAAAACGTATTTCTTTTTATAACTACGGACCCATAATTAATTTTTCAATAAAAATTTCAACTTTTCATATTTATCTTTAGTGACAACAATGGTAGCTTTTATCATAAAAAATTCAATCCAAACAATATAAACATTGATCACAACCAAAACCACAAATGAGAAATGATATTGAACATTCCACTACTAAATAATTCAACTCACAAATTCATAGCACGTCATTCCTATATTTGCTTGAATATTTTATCCCTTTATATTAACCTATTAAGAAATTACATAATCCTTTGCAAATATGAGATATCTTCTAACAAATATTAAATTAGACAAAATATCAGCCAATGCGATCACAATAACAATAATAAACCTATACCGTCTTCAACGTAATTATAAAGTCGCACAAAACCTCCATGCAAAACGAAGAAGCCATGATGTGGCGCCTCCAACTATTAAGTCTTTGAGTTGAAATTGTAAACTTGAAATTGAAACAATCATCTTTAACCAAAAAACTAAGAAATAAAAGAGGATAACAATAAATTATAATTATTCGATCTCGGAGAAGGAGAAACAATGAAGGGTAAACCAATCATGAATAGCTCTCAACAATTTGAACTCTATCAGCCGAGAACTTAGGTGCCCATGACAAATTCTAATGATTAAGAATAATAAACATCCAACAAGGAAAATCACAGGTACATGAAAGTTATAAAATTGCACAATGAAATTTTTTTTTTCCTTTTAACAACTTGCATCAACCATACACTTTTATTTCCCAAATGGATCCCAAAATTCTATCACAACGCCCTACAATTATATCACTCCCTAATCATTTAACAATGGATGGACCTAAACATCCAACAATGGATTTGCAGGTGTGTGCCCTACATTCTCCAAGGACACAATTAATGACCTATTTCAACAATGCACACCCAATATTAAACTACAATCGTGTTATTTAACAGCATTAATAAAAAATCCACAACAAATTCACCATTTCTAGATAACCATTATAAATTTAACTAACACCAATCAAATAATTAGGCGCATTGCAAATTATTTACCTTTCTTTGAGATGCTGCATCTATGGTATATACATGACACAAAAGATCAAAGTTTTTGTCTCACAGTTTGGTAGCAGTCTTTATATTGAAAAATTTCATTCCCAGGAGTTCGATATGAATTCTTGTTGAAGTAATAAGGTTGAAGAATGGGAGAAAAAGTCAATTGGATTAGGCAAAATTCCATAAAGGCTGGAAAAGTAAGAACAATTGAACATATATTAACTCTTTAATATCTGATACATTCAATTCAGAGTATCTTTGAGAGCCTTTTTTAGCAGGAAAAACATTGAGAATCCAAAACAACCACAACAACCTCTCAATTTTGATTTAAATTTCAAAATTGTTTAATATCCATAGAATCCAACCACCAATCTAATTCAAAAATTAGAAACCAAAATTGAAATAACAGAAAAATAAAAATCAAAATGGAAACAGAGAAGGGCTGAGATGAGTGTGTGCATATAGTTGGGAGAATAAAGTTTGGGGCATTTTGTCGAACAACTTATGTGCGTGGTGTGTGTATGTCCTATGTGTGTTGAGCAGTCAGCGGAGAAAGAGAAGCATAGGGATAAAGACGTAGAGGGTGAGAAACAGAGGGTTGTGTGCTACCTGGTGTGACGTGTGCACAAAATGAGCAGCTGAGTGAGAAATGAGCAGCGGAGATACAACAGTTAGAGAGAGAGAGAGAGTAACGTCGCCGGAGTAGTTGGTATCATTTTTGGCGTGGCTTGGGATAGAGGAGTGAGAGAGAGAGTAGGGCACAGTTGGACAGAGAATAGAGATAGGGGAGAGAAGGGATTTTTTTTTTTCGTGGGGGGCAGAATATTTGGCCAAATTAAGTAGAGTGATTTAAGGGATTTTGAAATTAAAAAATTTATGCCAGATTAATTTTTTCAAGGGTTAATTTGGAGTGTTGAATCGATAATTTTAAAATGATCATAGTTTGAGATAGTTTGGATAGCGTCGTCTATAGAATAATACTTTCTTTTGTCACGAAGAAATCTTAACCGCTCATTGTCTCTAAAATTTAAAATCGCTCTACTTTATTATATAGATAGAGACAGAGATGAGATTAGATAATGTGTGTTTAAAACGTCTAAAATATAGGAGAGAGAGTTATATGAGAAATATGAGTGTGAGAGTTAAGTCTAATTATGATCGTCGTATCAAAAGCCTGAAAATGATCTAAGTCGCGAAAAATTCAAGACAAACTTTTCTAGCTATTTGATTATGAGAGAGAGGATATGAGATATTGTATTTAAAACTCCCAAGAGAGATAGAAGTGTTAGAGTTAGGTCCAATTATGATTGTCGAATTAGTATTTATGAGATGATCTGAACCGTCTTTTGTCTTGGGATTACGTTGTTTATTGGACGTGTTTATGTTTTATTTCAAAACTATCTGGACCTCTCTTTGTTTCCAAAATTCAAATTCAGCTATACTTTATTATATATACTAGAAATTACCCGTGTCTGAAAACACTATACAACTTTTAAAAAAAATCAATGAATAACAATCAAGTTAGAGGCACTATATAACTCGTAAAAAAATTGCAAATAATTACCCGTACATGAAGGCACGTAATAACAAAAAAATTAATATATTGTGCCTCCTCAATAGAGTTGACATTAATTTAAACTATTTATTTCATTATAACATTCGACAAAATTTCCTTAAAAAACATAACCCAAAATTATCGAATTCACCATCATGTCACAATACTCCCTTAATTCAATCATTTTGCAATCCCACAACGTATAATCCAACAAAATTAACACAATATAGTTCAATATTATATTTCAAAATCCAATCCAATCCAATCCAATCCAACCAAGTTAAGAATCCTTATGATAAGGAATGTATACAAACTGGCGTAAGCTCTATGCCAATGAATTTTTGACAACATGGTAAGGAATAAATAAAAAAAAAGAAAAATACCTTGTAAAAAGTGATGTCACAAATGTTGCATTATATTTAGTGTTATTTTCTAATAAAAAGAACACCATCTGTCCACAGAAACTCTACGCTCTTCTTTATGGCCTCTTCTCTTTGCATCAAAGGGGAGTTCATTTTTCCAACACTTTTGTGGGTAAATCTATTAAAAAGAATATCTAGTTTGAATATGGA